TGCTCCTGTTTACAGCAAAGGGACTCCTAGAAACATGTCCACCAGACTGCCAGACTTTCCATCTAGCAGCGGGAGCCATGTCTTGTCTGCCCAGAGTCTCCACTCTTGTTCCTCACAGAGCAGAAGGTAGGGCAGGGATGAGGCGTAGACAGAAGAGGGTGGGCTGGCTTCAGTCCCCAACATGACAGCTGGGTTGAGGTTCCTCGTAATGGGCTCCCATTTTGAAAGACACCTGTATTTTCAAGCCCTTAAAGGACACATTGCGGACTCTAAGTGTACACTAGTCAAGGGAGGAGGGCCCTTCTCACTCTGATGGAACTAACCACCATTGCTGCCACTCCAGAGGACACCCACAGCTAGGCCCCCTCACGAGCTAGTCAGAAGGCGTGCACGCAGGCCTTCTTGAGTAGTGTGGTTAGGAAACAGGAGAGGGAGTGTACAATGATTAGTTCCTCATGGTCCCCACATTCTTCACACGTATTGCCTGTACCCCCCAGAACATGGCTGCATTCTTGCTAGTGGGATTGCAACCTAAGTTCTGTCCCCTCTGAGCACTCTTTATGGGCACACGGAGACACGCTGGAGCTTTGCATTTCCTTCCTTCGCGCCCCTCCTTCCCACCGCCACACTCTGCGAGCCGGTCCTTGCTCTCTTTCTAAGAATGTAATAAACATTTCAGCACAATCTTTCAATCCACATTATTTATAATATTCTGAACATCCATCGAGCCTGGCTAGAATGCTAAGCAATAAATCAACCTTAACAACAACAAAAAAAAAAAAAAAAAAAAAAGAAGGAAAGGAGGGGGTCACCCTTGGCGAGGCTTGAGCCTGAGGATGTTTCATTACCCAAAGGGTTTCGTTATTGTTCAGAAAAGCGAGATGGGATGAGCCTGGGGTTTAGGATGACATGAAGTCAGGAACTGGAATCCACAGGCATAATCATAACTTTGTATAGACCTCAAACGAGCTTACCTCTCGGGGGTGTCATGACGATAAATGAGATACGTGGGAAGCACTCTGAGTGCCTCAAAGAAAAGTAAGTGAGCCCAGTTCTCCTTGCTGAGTCCCAAAGGTCATCGTCTCCAAACAGAGGGGCACCAAGGGCCCCCTCCCCTCCTGGAGCTGCTGTCACTGCTCATTAATGTCCCCCTGGCTCTCAGTGAGGGAGGGTGAGGGAGCATAGAGCATGTTTAGGACAACCTGGTCCCCAGGTCTGGCTCTAGTTCCCACCCAGAGCAGGGACTTCTTCTCCCACTGCCAGGGAGCGCTGTGCCAGGCCACACACAGTCAGAGGGCTCTCCGCCGAGGATTCTGCTCCTGCTGGGGTGGGACTTGGACATAGGAAATCCAAGCCTCGCGGAACAGGCCTGTGTTTACGTGGCTAGTCCTGGTAGCTGCAGGGTGTAGTTTACGTTCTGGGACCACTCCATAGGCACCTTTTGTCAGTTTCCGGGGCCTAAGGCGCTGCTTCTCTTCCATTTTGATGGATGTGCCGAGTGTAAGATTAGAGTCACCCAGTGACAGCCCACACACTTTAACAAACAGAGTCTGACACTGGCGTGGGGAAAATGGCCGTGACCAGTCCTTGGGCATGAACCTCCACCTGCTTGCTGGCTGGGGTCAAGCAACCTCTAGAGGGGATTTGATATTTGCTTTGTTTTCATCCATCACTTCTGACACAGCTAATGTGTGACACACGTCTGTTCGAACAAAGCAGTCAAGACCACGGGAACTTCTTTACAGTGTCTATCGTGACACAGAACACTCCCACACCTTCATCACCACTTCCTAAGGTTGACGCCTGCGTAGGTCTGCATTTCTTTTTTTTTTTTTTTTTAAAGATTTATTTATTTATTTATTATATACACAACATTCCTTCCATGTATGCTTGCAGGCCAGAAGAGGGCACCAGATCTCATTACAGATGGTTGCAAGCCACCATGTGGTTGCTGGGAATTGAACTCAGGACCTCTGGAAGAGCAGTCAGTGCTCTTAACCTCTGAGCCATCTCTCCAGCCCATAGGTCTGCATTTCTTTTGCTCTCATAAAACCACATCCTTGGCTGCAGCCTACCTGGACCAAGCACTTTCCCGACCTCCTGGATTCCCCTTCCTCCACCGTCACTCCATCTCTGAGGACAGTCCTCAGCTGTGATGCTCCTCCGTTCTCCCTCTCCACCACTTCTACCCAGAGAACTTGTCCAGCTGCGGCAGGGCACCATCGCCGCCCTATGATGCCACCTTAGCACCCACTCCCTGACAATGGCATTCTACTGTTTCCTCTCTGGTTACAGCGTACATGCTGCCATCTCTCTGCTCAGACGGTAAGAAATAACCAAGCTGTGACTTTAAAGGGGACAAATGAGCTCAACTTCTGACCTTATCCAAACAGTGGGACAGCAGTGTATATGTTTAAGTATACAACACATACACAATCACTAAGGGTCTGCTCAATAACAATCGCTTTCTCACTACGAAGGCTCTTTTATTCATGTGATGTGGCATACCCACGACCCTTCATATGGGATCTGTTCTGATCAGACTTTGGCAGAAGGGCAACCAAGATGGTTGATGCAGGCCTCGTGGTTTACATGTCAAACCATGGTGACTTGGGAATACAAAGTGAAGCCAGCCACTCCATAGCTTAGCACATGAGGCTGAGCAGGGAGAACTCAGATGGGAAAATAAGGAGTCCGCCTCACTGAGCCATATGCTTCCTCACAGTGAATGTGACCCTTATGATAAACCTTTGTGTGTGTGTGTGTGTGTGTGTGTGTGTGTGTGTGTGTGTGTGTGAGATTCTCTGGGGGCTCCTCCATGGAAAGATTATCCAAAAGCAGGTTTAATTATAGACATGCATATCTTAAAGCACAAATTCTGACTAAAGAATAAATTTCCAGGGGCAAGATTTTTGGCCATCAGCAGGGGATGGGACCTTCCCAGCACTTCTGAAATGAGAATGCTCAGGTCACTGGTGAAATTCCCGAAAGATGAATAACATTACTTGCAGTCAGGGTGACCTTTCACCATCTACCCGCACCAGAGCTCAATGCTAAGCAGGAGATAGGAAAAACATCTTCATGGCTCTTCAGCCAAGTACAGCATATACTCTCTTCTGGTTAATGTCTCTGAGGTGCTGCAGAACCTCCCACAATTTCTCAAATAAAGACTTGAGGCTCTATGGAGACAGGCTGTGGGTAGAAGGATCTGGAAATGAGAACTGGCAGGGGTTGGTGATGACAGGACTCCCAGGACTGTGGATGGGGTCAAAGCAGAGGAGAGGGAAGCCCATCAGCCTCCATGCACTAATCTACTCTGCCCCAGGCAAGCGTCAGGCTAGATAGTGGGAATCAACAAGGCTTAAGATAGACACCTGTCCCCCAAGGAATCTGCAAGGTAGCCAGGGGTGACAGGCATTCAAATAATCACACGGTGAAGCAGTTAGGTAAGAGGGAACAGAAAACAAGCCCTTGTATGAGAAGAAATAAGACAGTGAAGCTGTCAGAACAAAGGCCATCTCAGCAGGAGGGCAAGGACTGAGCACTAAGCACCCAGACAGCCACAGAACCCAGAGAGCCTTGGAACTGCCTGTGACAAACAGAGACATTAAGGCAAATCTGGAGTCAACTCACACCTGCAGTCCCTGGAGGCCATGATGAGAAGCTGGGGGTTAGGCAGGAGTGGCAGGATCTCATTTATGTTACATGGCTATCTGTGCTGATATATGGGGACTGGACAGGAGGAACCAACCATGTGTGTCTGTAAGACCTGTCTGAGAAAACTACCCCAAAGGACTGCTTGGGAATCTGAGCACAGCACCCAGGCAAGCTGATGTGTGGCACTGGAGTGGTGGCAATACGAATGGCTTCCTTTTGGAAAGAAAGGGGGCCAGGTTGAAAGAACTGAACCCTATTTTAGCAACTGGGTCTGTGGCATGCTACTTACTAGGAACCCTAGGGGGTCCCAGATGTTGTGCTGGATCTGGGATGCTGCAAATACTGGCGCACGGTCCAGGGGAACTCAGGAGAGAGATGAACAGAGAACAGAGGGGAAGGCACAGAGCAGCAGGGCTGGGAGAGGAGCAGTAGCAGGGGAACCAAGGATAAGGTCGGAAGGGGAGGGAGTGTTCTATGGAGACTCCCTTGCCAAGGACTGGCAAAGGGGACCGAAAAAAGCCTATGGCTTTGCCCACCCACCAAGGGTGCCAGTCGCAGCAGCAGCAGCAGCAGCAGGTACCGAGGGCTGCTGTGGCCAGGGCTACACTCTTCACCTTCCATGCCTCATCTTTTAGTACAGTGCTGCCTGGCAATGATGGCACCTGAAGCTCCAGAGTATTTTCTTCTTAGAGTTGGGCCTGGGATTTGAAGCCAGGTTTGATCAACTGCAAAGAGCTAACAATAATGTTCACAACTCCAGAAAAAGAACAAAGAAGACAATCATGGCGGGGCCGCGTGATTTAATTTTTTTCCCCCTTTCTTTCTTGGTTTTTCAAGAGAGGGTTTTTCTGTGTAACAGCCCTGGCTGTCCTGTCATGTGCTTTGTAGACCAGGCTGGTCTTGAACTCACAGAGCTCTGCCTGCCTCTGTCTCCTGAGTGCTGAGATTACAGGTATGCACCACCACCACCACCACCACCACCACCACCACCTTCTGACTTTACAGCTTTTTTCCCTACCTGGCCAGGTGGGACCTTTAAGAGGTAATTAGGACCTGTGGGCTCTGTCTTTAAGAATGGATTAGTAGGTTATCTGGCGATTGGATCTGTCATAAAAGCCAGTTTGTCTTTCTCTCTTAGACATGCTTCTGTTGCCGTGTGATGCCCTATACTGCCTCAGGACTCCATGGATGGTGCGGGAGAATTATCTGTATTCTGTCAATCATATTTTAATAAAACGCTGATTGGCCAGGCAGGCAGTATAGGCGGGAAAGCCAGACAGGAAGTAGGGGTGGAGCAAAGAGACTGGGAGTATTCTGGAAGCAGAAGCTCTCTCTCAGCCACTCCTGTACAGACCACCGAAGAGACAGCATGTAACCTGCCCAGCTGAAAAAGGTATGGAGCCATTATGGCTAACATAGATCAGAATAATGGGTTAATATAAGTTATAAGAGTTAACAAGAAGCCTGACCCTATGGGCCAATCAGTTTATAACCTTATGGAATCTTGTGAGTGATTTTCTTTGTTGCTTGCCGGCTGTTGGGGTACTGGGCGGGACAGAAACCCCAACAAGCCGGCCTTCGTGTTACATATGGCGCCCAGACGTGGATAACTGAATCCACAGAAAGCCTGAGAAAGCTTGGGAAAGAATAGAATAAAGCACATTTTCTTGGTAGCAGCAATTTCTCAGGTCTGCTCTGCTTGCTAGAGGCAAGCAAGTGCTCTCATCTTAGAGAGGCTTCCTGACTCAGCTTTAGCTGCAAAACCTCGCAGCTCATTAAGAGGTCCTGCCACGAAACACTTAAACGGTGTTGTTGAAAAGCTGAACGCATGCTTTTTTGTTTTCAGCCATAGCAGGAAAAAAGCTGCGCTGTTTTAAAATGCCGGCTTTCTGGGCTGTCCTGCCAGGGCAATCTCTGACTCTTTCAGACAGGCAGTCTGACTGAGTGTGGTCTGTGAGCAGAATGCTGCAACTTGCTTGCTAGCAAGGACCTTGAAACGCCATAGAGTTGTGGCAATGAACACAACTCTGGCTGGTATCTCAGCCATGAGACTGGAGAGCTGGGGAGTGGGTTGGATCTAGCCGTCAAAGCCACTGCTCTCCATATTGCTTAGTAAATTAAAGGCTCATGTGGTCAGAAAAAGAGAGATATACAGTAAAGAGAGATTCAAAGAGGAAGAAAACCTCTAAATATTTTACAGTGTGTTAAAAATATATGCAGGCTAAAGTTAAAGTTCTTAATGTAAAAAAAAAGGAAGAAAGAGAGTAGTTGGGTGTGGTGGTACACACCTTAAATCCCAATGCCTGGGAGGCAGAGGCATATTGACCTCTGTGACTTCAAGGGACAGAGGTAGAGATTGACCTCTGTGACTTCAAGGTGTGGTAGTGCACACCTTTAATCCCAATGCCTGGGAGGCAGGGACAGACAGATCTCTGTGAGTTCAAGGTGTGGTAGCATACACCTTTAATCCCAGCACTGGGGAGGCAGAGACAGGAGGATCTCTGTGAGTTCAAGGGGTCCCCTTAAGACTATCAGCGCCCCCAACCAGCAGGAAGTAGCCTGAAATACTACGCCCACATTCCCAACAAATGGATTATGGGTATTTTCCTTTGTTTAAAAAAAAAAGAGAGGGAAATGGTGCGGGAGAATTATCTGTATTCTGTCAATCATATTTTAATAAAACGCTGATTGGCCAGGCAGGCAGTATAGGCGGGAAAGCCAGACAGGAAGTAGGGGTGGAGCAAAGAGACTGGGAGTATTCTGGAAGCAGAAGCTCTCTCTCAGCCACTCCTGTACAGACCACCGAAGAGACAGCATGTAACCTGCCCAGCTGAAAAAGGTATGGAGCCATTATGGCTAACATAGATCAGAATAATGGGTTAATATAAGTTATAAGAGTTAACAAGAAGCCTGACCCTATGGGCCAATCAGTTTATAACCTTATGGAATCTTGTGAGTGATTTTCTTTGTTGCTTGCCGGCTGTTGGGGTACTGGGAGGGACAGAAACCCCAACAAGCCGGCCCTCATGTTACACATGGAGACCCTACCAGTAAGAAAACTCTCACTATATATGCAGCTCCTTAGTCGTGGGTCTTCCGCCCTCCAGAAGTAGCAGTTGCATAAACCTTTATTCTCAATAAACTACTCAGTCGGTGGCATTTAGTTATAGTAACAGAAAATAACAGTTTCCAAACTGTCTTCTCTGCTTCCGTAGGTGGTGCCCAGTTCCGCACCAGACTACGACAGGCTTCTCATTATCTGCCTGACCACAGGACAGCCCACATCAACAGGTCTTTTTGTTGTCCAAGTCAAATGTTTCCCTAACTGCGAATTCAAAAGCTTAATTACATCTATTCTTTGGCTTCCCCTTTATACTCGGAAGAAACAAAAATTGCTGTTTGTAGAAAACAAGAATGTCTAGCCTTGAAATAACAAAATGAAATTAATAGAAAACTGTGAATTAAAGGTTCATTAAAAATACATTGTTTTGCAGGGCACTGGTGGCACAGGACTTTAATCCCAGCACTTAGGAGGCAGAGACAGGCAGATCTCTGTGAGTTCAGGGCCAGCCTGGTCTATAGAGCGAGTTCTAGGAAGACTCCAGTGGCTACAGAGAAAAACCTTGTCTAGAAAAAAACCAAAAACAAACAACAAATACATTGTTTCCTGCCCCATGCCCCCAAATGACATCTTTTAGCCATCTGACAGGCCACATATTCACAGAACTCTTACCTGAGTCCTCCCATCACATCCCCCTGACATGAACACGTCCTCCCTAAGCCAGAAAGAAAGAAAGAAAAAAAGAAAGAAAAAAGGCTGCACAGAAGAAAGCAATAGTCCAGAATAAAACATGCAAACAGAATAAAACAACAGCAAAACATTCAATCAGCTTTTAATAAAAACTGAAACAGGATCTCTCAGGAACTTGTGAAGTCAAGTAGAGATTTCCCTATTTTACAGATAAGGAAAACTAAGGCTTGGAGAGGTTAAGTGTGTCGAATCTCTTCTAAAAGATTAGCCTAGGGCAGAGTGAGGTGCAGCAGATCAACAGAGCCATGGATACGAGATTTAGAGGTGTGTGCTATATACACAGGGGCCCGAGTGTCATCAAGACGAATGTGGGCAACGGAGAGCCTCTGAAAGGTTTCAACAAGTGATGGCAGAGGTGGAGGGTGGGCAGTGCAAACCTCCATTTTCCAAAGACCCCTGCCCTGAGTTTTAATTCAAGAAGAGACGGGAAGGAGCAAAGCAGAGCCGGGAGACAAGTTAGGACATGACAGGAGCAATGTGGTGGAAAGCGGGGGTGGGCGAAGGCTGAGAGGGGAAGGCAACTATGGACCCCACAGGTACTAATGCTGAAGAATCAACAAGAACTAGCAGCAGATAGGATGTGGGCCTGAGCAGAATCAAGAATGACATTGGGGATTTGGCTTGAGACTGAGTGGCTGGTGGTCTCACTCATCAGCATGGGGAATGAGCAAAAGAGAAGCAGGGCTGGAGATGACAGGAGCCAGTTTTGACGTCTCAGGATTATTACAAGCAGGCTTGGACAGCACAGTGCTTGCTTTTCTCCCACCAGGATCAGAGAGAACTTCTTTTGGGGCAGTGAGTAACTGTGGGCAGTGTTCATGTTGGGGTGGGGGTCATGTGGAGACCCACATCTACTGTGAGCACCCGAATGTGATGCCTGTTTAGTCCTCAGTCATCACAAAGGTGTTGAAAGGGCTCTGGTATGGGTCTAGCAGTGATGGCTGGCACAAGAGCCCTAGAAATGCCCTCTTGGGACCTCCCACTCAGTGGCTGAGGCAGAGACTACCCTCATTTCCTTCTCTTTACCCTGAGACTCTCAGACACACACACACACACACACACACACACACGATATATATGATATAGTTAATTTTTTGTGGTCTGTAGATAGTTTCTTACTGTAATTCCTGTTTTCTTGTCATCTTGGAGTGCATTCTTTCAAACATGGGGTTTCAAAACATGGGAATATTTTCAACAAGAAAGTACTAGAAGCCATCCTTTTCATTCATAAAACATCGGGGTATCATTTGGGTCTTAGCTGTTCCCCCAAAAGCCTGAGTGTGAAGCTTGGTACCCAGTTCATGGGACCATTGGGAGGTGGCTAAAACCTTCAGAAGTGGGGTCCTGGTGAAGTGATATTAGGTCTCAAGGATGTACCCTTAAAGAGGACACAAGGACCCTGGCTTCCTCTCCTCTCTGCTCCCTGCTTGTCATGAGGCAAGCAGCTCTGCTCTACTATAGGCTCCCCAAGATAATCTTCTGTCTTAGCACAAGCCCCCACATAGTGAGCCAACCAATGACAGACTGAAACCTTCTGGAAGCAGGAACCACAGTAAACCCTTCCCATCACACCAGTTTTCTCAGGGGCTTTTGCCAGAGAGACAGAGAGCTAACGCGGGTGCGCTCCTGCTGTGTTCATCCCTTGTAACTAGCACATCATCTTTTAACTTCTGCTTAAACACTCAGCACAGTGCTGACCAAGGGGAAGCCAGCACTTCTTGATTAGATTAGACACGTCCCTGGCCCTGGCCGACATATACTGCCAAGAAACCAGGGACTCCCTTGCCTGGTGGCAGAGTTCACAACTTAAAAATTCTGAGAAGACATTTGGGCAAGGAATGTGAGGCTTGGACAATAGAGATAAATCTTGTTTCTCTCTTCAATTACCCAGCTGAAGAACTGCATATACCTGCCCTCCAGACTCACGACTCCACCATCCCAGGCTGAGTGCAGGGTCATGAGCTAAAGGAGTTAAGCAGTTGTGGCAGAACCTAGACAGGGGGCCGAGGGACCAGAGAGTCCAGGAAGCCCAGCAGGCATCCACAAGAGGAAAAATGGACTCCTCACAGCTACAGACCCTGGATGGAGGGATCCCAGTAGGCTAGTGTCTAAGAGGCTCTGCCACAGAGAGCTCGCGGCACTATTCACAGAACATACTCGAGGAGTATCACACGTTGTGAGATAATTAGAAACTGTTTTTCTTGGGCATCCCGAAAGCACTAAGCCCTTGGTTCTATCCCAGCATCCCTCCCTCTGACATACAGAAAGAAATTACTTTTCTCAACTGAGTCTTTTCTTCCTGTAAATAATCTACTACTTTCTATATTTAAAGTAGACTTTTCAGAGTTTTCATGACACTAGATTAACACAGAAACTCAGGAAAATGCTTCCTATGACAACCTGGACTGTGTAGCAAGCGTTCTTTTCACAGGCTTAGGATAAAAGTGAGTTTAGAAAGAGTCATTCCTGATGCCTTGGGCGTTCGTGGGGCACTGTGCTTCATTTTGTAAGAGTTATTTTGTTAATCAAACACAAATTTATCACAGTCCCTTCAGAGAAGTCTGGAAGAAACTGTAAGCCAG